TACCAAGTAAAAGATCAAAAATGATGGATGCACAGACTTCCTATTTTATATCTTATATAATTCTGCTTTAGAAGCAGTTTTCTTTAACAAAGAATAAACTCAATGATAAGGACTAGCAAAATTCTCTATTTCTGTTTCTCTTTTTTCTCAGACCTCTTCCAGAAGTGCTCATTTTTCATTAAATCTGGGTTTCTCAATCAAAGGATAAAAAAAATATATTCTTTCATTAATTTTCTCTTTTTTAATTATATTTAATGTGTCTGCTCTCTACCAATTTTTTCATAAATCTGTCTTAATAATCACCTTGCTCCTTTTTTGTGAGAAGGAACATGCTCTCCTCTTCCTTATACAGAAAAGATAAAGAATGTAAAAGAATAGTTTGTAAGAAGTCCATAAATTGATGATAATAGTAATAATTAATAAATGATAATAATGGCCAAATGCCACAGACACATTAAAAGTATCTGTGGCATTTGGCCATTATTATTATTATATTGAAGTATTATATTTGGGCATTGTGGTCAAATATAATATTTGGTAAATCATCTAAAAAAACTGAAAATTGGTGAAATTATTTGTAATAATGCTTATTATTAAGGTCAGTATTTGAATGAATGAACGTGTATACTCCTACAAGATCACTGCTTTTAGGGCCTTAACTAAGAGGGCGTTCACGCACCACTCCAATTATCAAGACACCATAGCTGAACTTATACACGTTCAGGAAATGGCCACACAACATGGGTATAATAAGAACTTAGTACATAATATCACTCACGCTTACACACAGGCTTGTGCACGAGACACTGCCAATGTCCATGGGGAGCATGTGGATAACAAGTGTACAAGAAAAATCGTGGAGTACAACCACCATCTGGACACAATATACAAGGAAATTTCATCCATCAATAAAACTAGGATAGCTTATAAAAGGCCTAGATCAGTTTACAACTTGCTTCGCAACAGGAAAGATGCAATCGACTTAAAACACGCACCGGGGGTATATGCTATCCCGCTTTGGGATGACAGATTTAACAGCGGTTTGGTTTATGTGGGCTCAACCAAATGTTCCCTTCACAAAAGGCTCTGTGAGCACAAACGTGACATCGACAATAAAAAACACACCACCGCCCTCTCAACGGTTGCCACTGAACCGGGAATCACAGCCGACATACAAAATGCCCACATGATCAGGCTCTCACATTGCACTGATCAACTGAGAATGATGGAAACTCTAGAAATATACAAGACAGGATTACATGGCACGTGCATCAACTCTAGGGACGCAGTCGGTATATCTAGCACGTGGAAGTTTTGTTATGAGGGAACTCATCCCCATAAATGAGTGTGTATAATTTGTCTACTTCCACCGTTATGCAAACTTCATATTACACGTGCTTTACAGTCATTTCAGCACGTGCGTAACATTCCATGGGTATTCTTAAATCTGTTTATAAATTTTGAATCGTATACATTCCATTCCAAATGCGTTCAAATTCCTAATTAAAGTAACCTGATGAAGACCTCGATGAGGTTGAAAACGTTTGCTAAGGTGTAAACACATACCACTGGAGCTGTAAAGGTTGTTTGAAGTGCTGAATAGAAATAATAATATCAATTAATGCTGTTTATTGCTATTTACCTAATAAATTATTATATGAAACTATGTAATAGAGAAGTTTCAAGTAATGATTGTTAAGTGGAAGAAAATATATATATACTAGCTGCAAGGACCCGCTTCGCTGGGCAAAAAGTAACGATAGTGAAGATTAAGATAATTACATTATAGCCAATCTTACCCGTTTTCACAGAATGCAAGAATTAGGTCCCCCATTTCCAGACTAATTAGAGAATTTTTACGTTTAGTCAAACAAACTATTTTCAACGTTTCTGGAACGTTTACAATTGTTCTATAATCGAACCAATATTCGAATTTTATGTTCGAATTTAATTCNCCTCAATTGCATCTCTACTTGATACTTTTAAATATCTGAAATGCCATATCTAGTATGTTCATACTGTATTAGTGTATAATAGAAAATAAACATACAGAGAAACACAATACATCATTCTATATCCAGAAATATATCTTACATGTAATATAAATATATTAAAAAACTTTTTATATAGATGGTCATAAAATTGTATTTTTTATTTATTGATTGTATTTTTTTCCAGAAATGCTATAAAGAGATAAAAAATGATATTTTCCTGTTTCACAATTCAGTTCATATTTTAATTTATTACAACAGAATCAATACAAATAGGTAAATTTATATTTTTCTGCTATAAACAAACATACTAAGATTGACAATCTTCAATTTCTGCATTTTGTCTACTATCTAACAACAAAAAATATTTGTGGATTGACAAATATTTGTTTTTTATATTTATTTTAAATAAATATTTTTATATTATTTTAATATATTTATTTATATTATTTATCCAGTTTCTTGAAATTTGGGAGGAACATGTTAAGCTTGAATGTCAGGGTAGGGATAGTTAATTGCTCTTGGGTAGAGAACTAAATAAACTTGGCCCCAGTCCCCACTGTGAATGTCTATAAACCATTACAGTAGAGCGGCATTTATCCGAATCAATTGGGGACTGGGATTGTTCAGATAACTGATTACGTACGAAAAAATATATTAGCCTATTTCGTGTTGAAATTTTTCTCCGTTGCGTGTCGCTTTGCATTGAATTTTCGTCGATGTTAAGCCTAATGTAAACTTTTTAAAATAATAATCGTGGCTATTGTATCATTAAAAATTATTTCTTTATTTTTTACAAACAAAATAAATATATTGAAAAATATAAAAACAAAAAAAATTATACTTTAGAAGTTAATCTAATATCAAAAATGTTCGATTCAGCATGACACACAGTCCTCAGAAAAACACCACACAAAAGTGCCAGTGCT